TCACCCACGTCCATAGTAAAAATAAATAAAGCACAAAGTCCCAAACCCTGATTCCCTGAGATATCACTCTATTTGGCTGCAACATAAAGCAGGATGGGTGGAGGGCAGAGAGTAGTTACCACTTGCTCTACCTGCTACCCCAAACCTGCTACTTCTTCCAGAGGGCTCCATGACTATCGGCTTAGGTTCCCCTGCCAGCCTTCCGAAGTTCAAATCCCAGTTCTGCCACTTCCTAGCTGTGTGACCTAGAACAAGTTACTGGATCACTCTGTGCCACGGTTTCCTTATGTGTGAAATGGAAATAATAATCATATCTACCTCATAGTCCTAAGTGGGAATACTTAGTATTGTGTATAGAATTTGCAGAGAGTGGCCTGGGGTTGTGGCTCAGAGGTAGAGTGCTCGCCTAGCATGCATGAGGCACAGGGTTCTATCCTCAGCACCACATAAAAATAAAATAAATGTATTGTCTTCATCTACAACTAAAAATATATATTAAAAAAAAGAATTGCAGAGAGCAAAATTCTTCCATTAAAAAAATGTCTATCACTGTTATCTGTTAACTCATTCTTTTGATATTGTCCTTGCCTGCAGATAAGCTGGCTGAAGGCTTCCCCCTCCCTCTGCCAAGGCATATTCAGCTCCATGACCTCCTTCTCCAGATTCACAAGGTCAGTGGGTTCAAGGGGGCTCTGAGGACTTGGGGGTGGAAGTTGGTTAGCCCGCCAAATTTGGAGACCATAACTCAGTGGAATCCAGCCCGGACCTGCGTGCTCCAGGATCTTTCAGTGTGTCATGAGGCCATCCATGTGTCCTTTAGAAGTGGCCTCTCTGCCGGAGCAGGAGACATTTGATGAAGCCTGGGTTTCCACTTTGAAAATACTGCAAGTTTTAGACTTAGCAACAGTCAGGGTCTGAAGGCCATGGGTAAATTGTAATGCATTCCTTTTTATTTGTTTGTATATTTTGTGGTACTGGGGATTGAACCCAGGGGCACTTTACCCCCAAGTTGCAGCCCCAGCTTTTATTATTTATTTATTTTTAATTTTTGAGATAGGATCTTGCGAGATTGCCCGGGCTGGCCTAGAACTTGAAATCTTCCTGTCTCAGCCTCCCAAGTTGCTGGGATTACAGTATGCGCCACCATGCCCAGCTAATTCCATCTTAATTCTTAAGTGAAAGAGCTGTATTATAAATATGTATTTGGTGTGTCCCCCATTTTAAACCTATAACTTTTTTTTTTTTTTTTTTGGTGGTGGTGGTGCTGGGGAATCCAACTCAGGACCTCTGCATGCTGGGAAAGGTCTCTGAAACTGAGCCACATCCCCAGCCCACCTTGTGAACATTTTTAAAAACATTTTAAAATTTTTCCATAAGGCCATTGCTCCACCACAAACACAGTTTGGATTTTGGTGTGCGTCTCTCCAGTCCTTCACCTCCGCCGAGGCTTTTCTTAAAGTTTTTGTCTGTTTTGGACACCTGTATTGCTAACACTCATATCTGCCTTTAATTCATTATTTATTTTAACTTAACGTCACCCCTTAGGTATGTTCTATGATCAAACCTAGTTTTCAGCTCCTGCTGATAAACAGCTGTGTATAATCTCACCCTGAAGATGGACCATAATTGATTTAACTATTTTAATACCAAGAATTAAGCCTGATTTTTTCACTATCCAGGCCAGGAATCTAAGGGTCCATGAATCCACCCAGATTTCAGGCCATCTCTCTAGAACAGCACTTCCAGGGTGAGAGGACTCCACTGGCCGACATGTGGGCGTCACGGGACTTAGAGACATGCTGCATTGGTGCTTGGTCCATGGTCAACGTCCCCAAAATAATAGCTATTAAAGGGAATGAAGGTCAGGGGTGGCTGGGAATGCGGAAACGCTGGCCAGCTATTGTATTTGTAAAACAAATGTTCAGAGCCCTTTTGAATCTCAGGATACTTAACACCCAACCAATGTTGAGTGTCCACAAGTGAAATTTAGATCATTGCTCAAAACAAAGTCAGAGTGACCATTCACACAGTTGGTCTCATTTATCTCTTCTATAAAATGGGGTGTAACCCAGGCCTTCCTGGGTAGAGGCCAATGTTTGGCATGTGGGAAGTGATTAGAGGATTTGTTATATATTATCATTGAAATCCTGAGGTCACCTGTGTTCATTTTCCCAGCCACCCAAGGCAGGAGTTGGATCACTCTGGAAAGAATTAAACTTTGCCTTGAGTTCTGAGTCCCCACCCCTCTGACTGATTTAAGAGCAGGAGAGTAAATCCCAGCAGCTCACAATTTTGTGTTCTCCACCAAAGAGAAAAAAAAAAATTTAGGTGACACAAAGGACATTTATGAGACCTTCCAGGAGTACACAGCTTGGGAAATGACAGGCAGATCGCTACTTGGAGAAGTTAGCTGGCAAACGCAGTGCTTTATGGAGACCTTGGGGAGCCAGGCACTCCTGCGATTTATGCAGTGACCTGGTTTCTGGCAGAGCCGGTGTTTCCCGCGCCAGGGGCCCTCTTTATGTAGCAGGTGCATCTTTTTGGAGTAGAAGATGCTCCTTACCAGCCCAGGCCCGCCTTGTTTCCCTCTAGGACTTCCTGTTCTTGGGTGCCAATGTCCAGTATATGAGAGTTTGAGGACAAGAAGGAAGATGGTCTCAGAGGCCACAGCTGGACCCGCCAGGCGCATTTCCAGATGTGCAGCACATCTCCGGAGATTCCTGAAGGACGAGGACATTTCCATTCTCAGCTCTGGGGGTCCCTGCCCCCCGCTTCCTCTTTGCCAGGTGCTCCAACACCCTCTGACTCCAGACGACTTTCTCCTCTGGGTGGACCACCCTCCCCCACTGACCTGTGGTGACTTTAAGAGCAGACATTGCTGGGCGAGGTGGCACACACCTGTAATCCCAGCAGCTCGGGAGGCTGAGGCAGGAGGATCTCAAGTTCAAAGCCAGACTCAGCAAAAGCTAGGTGCAAGCAACTCAGTGAGACCCTGTCTCTAAATAAAATACAAAAGAGGGCTGGGGGTGTGGCTCAGTGGTCGAGTGCCCCTGAGTTCATTCCCCGGTACCCCCCCAAAAAAGAGGAGCAGGCACTGTTTTTTGTACCCCAACTGATCCCCGTATCTAGTGGAACGCTAGCACTTTGTAAGTCCTCAATAAATATTTATTGAGTGGTTTGATGAAGACGTTCTGACGGGGATTACCTCACTGCTCACCGTGTTCTGGCTCCAGGGGTCTTTGGCTGCTCAGCCCCAGTGTGGTATCCACAGCTAGACCTCGGAAACGCTCCCCTTTCTCAGAGGCCACTGCTGGACAGGCGTCAATAGGAGAGCAAGGGACTCTGCACAGCACTCGGCCCAGACCCTGGTGCTGGTGTCCCTCACTCAGGTCCTTGCCCCATGTCAGTCCAGAGGCCCGTTTCAACAGCCGCTCACCTGCTTGCTTCTGGCCTGCTGCAGACGCCGAGCCCGAGGGTCTCCCAGAGCAGCAGAAGCTCAGTCTCCTGCCCTGTCCCCACGGAGGCTAGTGTGAGGAGGAAATGGATCCGAAAGGGTTTTGGTTCAACCCAAATAAAAAGCTCATTCCACTGTGTTTATGAGCCCCAAGCCTGGGGGAGGGGGGGGCCATGATTTCTAATTACTGAACAATGAGCCTTTGATCAGACTTCATAAAAAGTCATTTCCAAGTTATGTAGTTAGACCCCCGGGGTCTGGGAGTCAGAAGGCTGGTTTGATATTCTTTTATTATTGTGTTAATGAGCAGATGGAAGGAGCTGCTGGCTAGAAGATAATTCACAGGGAATAGACCCATTTACCCTGTGTGTGACAGAGAAGCGTTCCAAGATGGGACCATGATGTGCTGTCACATCTGGTGGCTGGGTACCCTGGGCTTTGTCTCCTCCCTCCTCCTTGCTCTTGTTTATTTGTCCACCACCATCCTCGTCCCTGTGGTAGCTGGTGAAGGGCTCAGGCTCCCTCCGGTCCCCGTCCTGTGGCCCTGGGCAGGTCGCTTGTCCTTCATGGTCCTGATCTCCATGACCAGAGTTAACTTCACCAAGGGTCTTCTGCCCTCCAGATCCTTCAGTCCTCAAACCGTTGGCCTTCGACCCTGAGTGTGAGGCCAGTGACACTTGAGATCTGCTCATGGTGGCCTGGTCACGGGCTGGAGGTCCCCCACTCCTATATCCAGCTGCCTGTCCTCAGCTCTGCTCTTGTGAGTGCTGCAAACCCTGCATTGCCCAGGTGTCGAGTGGCATGGACGTCCAGGACCCATGCAGGCTAGTAATCCAGGGTGGGGCTTATTAAAGGGCATTAGATAGAGCTACGTGGCAGGGGGGTGGAGATGGTCATGAGCTAATCAGATGCAGACCACCCAGGACATGAAAGTTCATTTTTCCATTAGTCCTCCTCATGTTGTTTTTTTTTTTTAAATGATGGTCATTTCTACATATCTATGGCTTCACTTACCTGAGGATCACAAATATTCAGAAAAAAACTGAACTGAACATGTATAGACTTAATTTTCTCATCATTGTTCTCTGAACAATACAACTATTTTTTTAAATATTTTAAGTGGTTGATAGACCTTTATTTATTTATTTATATGTGGTGCTGAGGATCAAACTCAGTGCCTCACACATGCCAGGCAAGTGCTCTACCACTGAGCCCCAGCCCCAGCCCTACAATATAACTATTTATATGGCCTTTCCATTGTGGTCAGGTATGATAAGGAATCTTGAAATGACTTAAAGCCTAGACGAAGATATGTGTAGGTTCCCATGCAAATACATCATTTTACGTGAGGGACTTGAGTATTGTCAGATTTTGGTATCTGCAAGGGGCCCTGGAACCCATCTCTCATAGGTACTGGGGATGGTTATTCTGTCACACACCTGAGTCAACACATGCTCATAAGTTTCCTTTGTCCTATTTGAGATCATGACACTTACTTAATGTTTGATTATGTGCTTGGGAAATGCCTTCTAGACCAGTGCTTCAATGTGCCTAGGAATCCCACAAGAACCTTATTGAGAATTCAGACTCTGGTGCAGTAGGTCTGGGCTGGGGCTGAGAATTGGCATTCCTCAGCTCTCCCACATGATGCTAATGCTGCTGGCCTTCAATCCAGATGTGAGAGGAGGGTAAGGTAACTCTATGGGAGTCAGGATCTTCTCCTTGCTCTCTACTCCCCTGAACCGTGCCCGGCCCGTAGCAGTGCACAGTCAATATTTACCACATCATCACCCATCAGACTTGGCCCACTTCTCCATCTGGCCCATCTGACACTGTGTGGGTCGTGGGTGCCTGACATTCCTAGTGTCAGGATCCCAGGGAGGAAAACTGTCTGGGGGGAAAAAAAAAAAAGCCAAGTAGAAAAAGTGGCCCAGCCAACCTGTTGAGATTAAGGGGCGGCTTTGCCAATAATAGGGCAAAGACAAATCTCCCAATCAGAATTCTAACAATTTGTGCAAATATCCCCCTCAAGGAGAGGCAGAGCATTGACTCCCCACCCTTAGGTAATGGCCTGTTCCACAGAGTGGAGTGATAGGAGGCGGAGAGTAAATTTATCATAGAGAAACCTGGCACGTAGCCAGGTGGTCAAGGTCCGCCTCTTCAAAGACAAGTCATGTTGGTAGTCTGTCTTAGTCAGTGCTGGCTGCTATAACAATCACCATAGACTGGCTGGCTACAGCAACAGATGTCTCTTTTTCTCAATTTGGGAGGCTAGAAGGCTAGGGTCAGGCTCTGGTGAGGGCCCTCTTCCAGGTTGCAGATGCTGGCTTCCCACTGCAGCCTCTCCTGGGGGAGATGAGAGAGGAGGACGCCAGCTCTCTGCGGTCTCAGCTTATGAGAGCATGAAACCCATCATGAGGGCTCCACCCTCCTAAGCTAATCACCTCCACAGGCCCCGCCCCCTTATACCCTGGCATTGGGGATTAATTGGGGGTGGGGTGGGGCGGGACACAAGCATCCAGTCCCTAACAGTATGTATCCTTGATGTGATGAAATGACAATGGCACTCTAGTCTTTTCCAAAGTCCCTAATGAAGAACACCAAACACACATTAAGTGACATTCTATAAAACTGCCTGGCCTGTTTGCAAAACTGTCAAGGTCATCGAAAACAAGGATGGAGCCAGGCTTGGTGGTTCACACCTGTAATCCCAGCAGCTTGGGAGGCTGAGGCAGGAGGATCGCAAGTTCAAAGCCAGCCTCAGCAATTTAGTGAGGTCTTGAATAACTTGAAGGGGGCTGGGGATGTGGCTCAGTGGTTGAGTGCCCCTGAGTTCAATCCCTGGTACCAAAAAAGAAAGAAAACAAGGACAGAATGAGAAATTGTCACAACACAGATGAGAACTAAATCTAATGTGGTGTCCTAGATGTGACCCTGAAAAACAAAAAGGACATTAGGGAGAAAACAATAAAATCTGAATAAAGTACAGAATCTAGTTAAAATAATATATCACTGTGGAGTCGTTAGTTATAACAAGTGTAATAATAATACAAGATGCTAACAGTAGGGGAATCTAGGGCCAGGATACCTGAGGACTTCGTACTGTCTTTAAAAATCTAAAACCATATAAAAATTATTTTGAAAAAAAAACTAAAACTAATTTTTAGTTTAACTCCAAAACTATTAAATCTTTTTTTTGCCAATCTAAAACTATTCTAAAGTTACATATTTAATTTCAAAAATATTGGAAACTTTTTTCCACCAAAAAGTTTATATGATCAGAAGTCACCAATTGTCAGTGGAGGAAATTGTGGTCCCGAGAAAGGTCATCAGCTCAGTCCCCCACTGATGGCTTTGGCTGGGGTCACTTTGAACTCGGGAACCAATAGCATCTGCAGAACCAGATTTCAACCACCTTTCAGACCCCATTTGTATGACAGATTCAGGGAAGTTCGGGGCTTCCTGCCCTGGTGTCTCTTCCCGAAGCAGGTAGTTCTCAGGGGAATGTGTCCGACACATTCATAGGCAGCTGGTGTTCCTCAGCCTAAGACTCTGAAGGCTGTGATAGGAAAGTTCCATGTCAGGGAAACATGCCCAACACAGACCCCTCATGCAATAAGGTAGCACAGAGCTGGCCCCAGGCTCCTGTCCCTGCACGCCCCTCCCGTGCTTCCTGGCTTCTCCCACACTCCTCTCTGTTCCAGAATTTGGGTCTGTGACGCCCACATCCCTCGGGCTTGGAACCTGGGCCTGGACGCTCTTCTCTTTCCCGAGCAACATTGGCCTCCGAGGCTTTGAACACCATCTCTGGTTGTAGTATGTTTCTGATCCAGGCTGAGAGAAGAGATTCTGAGATGCCACCTGTCCCTTGACAGCAGCACGCTTGACGACCCCCTTGGGCTTACTGGATTCAGGAGGCTGCACCAGGCTGGTTGCTGAGGGACAGGTAAAGGCATCCTGAGGATTTCTCCCAGAGCCGGGGGCATCAATTTCCCCCACAACATATCCACCTGGGCCTGCTTCTCCCAGCCCGCTGAGGAACGCTGGTAGTAAAACAGCAGAACAGACGGCTGCTTTATGGGCCAGAAGAAAGTGATTTCCCACCTGGGGCCAGTAAAGAATCCAAGGCTCCATTCTGTCCTTTCCCTCCGAGAAGGTTTTTCCTCCTGTCTCAAGTGATCTCATGGGGCCATTAGCTTAGACACAGCAGCAGAAATGCCAGGGACAGGTGGGCTATCTTAAAAGGATGCTCTCTCATCCCATCCACAAAGGAGGTAGGCCCAGAGCCATCGCCCGCATCCCCCAGACCCAATCAAGCCCAGCTTTCTTTCGGTGCCACTCGCCCAGCCCCAGCTATCTCTCCAGGACCTGTGATTCCGCAGAGAGTAGTTCCTAAGAACTGCTCCCGCTTGGTATCCTCTTAAGAGTGAAATGGCCAAATTAAAAAGCTCAGACAAAACTGGTGTTATGAAAATGTGGAGTAACTGGAGAACCTGCCCCCTGCTGGTGGCAGCGGGTCTCAGATGGTGCAGGCTGCTCTAACAATTTGCCAGAGACGGGACAGCTTAAAAGACAACATGTATCTCGCAGTTCCAGAGGCTGGGGAGCTCAAGATGCAGGTGACAGCAGACTTGGTGTCTGATGAGAATGCTCTTCTGGATGCCAGATGGCCATCGTATCCTCCCAGGGTGGAGAGCCGAGAGGGAGGAAGTGACCTCGAGGTGTCTCTGCTTATAAGGCCACTAATCCCATTATGAAGACTCTACCCTTGAGACCTGATCTCCGGATGTCATCACATTGGGGTTTAGGGTTCCAACAGGTGAGTCGGGGAGTGCATTCAGTCCACAGCAAAGTGCAAATAGGTACAGCCCCTGGAAGACCATTTAGAAGTTGAAGTTGAACACGCATGTGCCCCGGGACCCAGCAACCCCGCTCCTTAGCACAGCCTCAACAGAAATGCCTACATTTGTTCATCGAAGGACATGTGCCGCCTGTTCCTAACACACTTTTCGTGGCAGCCCCAGGTTGGAAACAAGCCCCGATCCCCAGTAGTGAGCAAACTATAAGGTGCACACATGGGACTGGAACACCAACGGGCATCAATGAGCCGCAACCCCCTGCAGCCCCCTGGACGGTCTCACCAACAGAAGGCTGAGCGAAAGAAGCCAGCCACCGGGAGGGACGCTGCTGTGTGAGTCCCCAAGGCCAACTCATAACCACACAAAGACAAGTCATGGAAGCCAAAGTCAGGAGAGCGGTCGGGCCTGGGGATGAGTGGAACAGTCGTGAGGAAAGGACAGAAGGGGCTCTGGGACTGTGGCGACCCTCCGTTCCTCCATCTGTGCACCAGCTACGACGGGGAGCTCACTTATAGTTCTTTTGCTTATTTAGGATCACAATAAACAAAAGTCTAATTTTCAGATTTATTCTTCCAAATATACCAGTCGCTCAGCTGCTGAGGCTGGCCTCAAACTTGTGATCCTCCCTACCTCACCCCACCTCAACCATCATTTGGACTTTGTAAGAGCAGAAATAAACCTCTGTCATATTTAGCCACTGAGATTTGGGGATTAATCTATTACAGGGCTAATGTTGGCTTTAACTGATACAGAAGGTAGGTAGCGGTGGCAAGGTATGAGCCTGCTGAAAGACTGAAATGTAATAAGGTATGTAAATTGCTACATCTGTAGAAGATGCTCAATAAATGGGAGCTATTATTATTTGAAACGCATCAGGCTTCTCTGCTGCCCCGACCGAGACCTCCTAACTTGCCATATTCAGTTAACTCTTCCTTTATCCCAGCAAGGAAACAGGCATCAATCTACACCACAAATGACCAAATAATCTCTCCTTGCTCAGAATCCCACTAAAGCTTTCTATTACACTATAGTTCATTAGCAACTGATGGCTCTGTGTTGTGAATTGCTGTTTAAATACTAATCTCCTGAGTTTCGTGTCTAACCTTCCTAAGTAGATCATAATTGCCTTGAGGGCAGGAAATCAACTGGCTATGTCTGTGTCACCCACGGCTCATCGCAGTACGAAGCCGGCATGTCATCTGTAGCTGGTGATTTGAAGTCTTGTCACTGGGGCTTTCCCAGCCCTGCACTGCCCTAGCCCTGACCACAGGGCTCCTCCAGGTCATCACCTCCTGTCCCCGCCTCTGCTCTGGCCACGCATGCTCCATTCCCCAGGTCCTTCACGTTCCCGTTATTCCTGTTGGGATCAGGGAGCCCCTGACCAGAGGTGGTGCCCCTCACTCTTTCTGGGGCTCTCAGCTGTCTCCTGGGGCTGTGGGAGGCTCTCAGGAGGCAGATGAGCCAGGATAGATGTGAAGTCAGGTGGGGGAAGCCCCGGCCAGCAGGGAACAAGCAGACGGACTCCAAGGGCCTGCATTTGGGAGTAGGAGGCCAGGCAAGGTGAGGTGACCTCTGTCAGAGGCAATATTTTGGTGAATTCCCCTGACGCGTCCCACGTCAGGAGAGCCTGGGCCTGGCTGAGATCACACAGAGTGAGGGTAGAACCCAGTGGTTCCAATGGCAAAGGTTCTTTCAGGTCCAGCCATCCATGATTTGTTGCTCCTTACTGTCGTCCCAAAAGGATATGCTGAAGTCCTAACCCCTAGGATCTCAGAATGTGACTTAATTCAGAAACAGGGTCTTTCTTTTGGGGGGAAGGGTAAGTATGGGGGATTGAACTCAGGGACACTCGGCCACTGAGCCACACCCCAGCCCCATTTTGTATTTGGAGAAAGAGTCTCACTGTGTGGCTTAGCATCTTGCTTTTGCTGAGGCTGGCTTTGAGCTCTCAATCCTCCTGCCTCAGCCTCCCGAGCCGCTGGGATTACAGGCGTGCACCACCACACCAGGCAGAAATATGAGATAACCAAGTAAAGGTGAAGTCACTAGAGTGGCCCCTAATCCAACTTGATTTGTGTCCTTATGTAAGGGGACATTTGGACATAGAAGAGGTGATGTAAGGCCAAGCTATAAGGATGGAGGCAGAGAAGGGACGGATGTGGCCACAATTCAAGGGACGCTCAAGGCCACCAGTGGCTAGGGAAGGCCAGGAGGGATTCTACCCAGGTCTCAGAAGAAGGGTGACCTGCGACCCCCGGATCCCTGACTTCTGGCCTCCAGGGCGCAGAGGTAAAATTTGTTGTTTTAAGCCACTCCTACGGCAGCCCTAGGATGCAAAGTCACTGTCCTTCTCCATTACTGGGCACTGATGGCCACCTCTCAAGAGCAGGAGGGTTCCAGCTGACACAAAGTGGCCAGTGGGTTTTCCGGTAGCCGTGCAAAAGTCAACCTCTCACGGAGCTCCCACGGTGACTGCAGCTTCTCCAAACACCTTTCACTCGGAAAACCATCGGAAGGGGTCCCTGGGTGGTGGGCTCCCAGGTTGCCAAGCACTGCTCTTGTGGGGAATGTTCCAGTCTGCTCAGTTCCCCCCAGACTCTCTCTGTCTGCCCCGGTGAGTCTCAGAAGCACTGAAGCAGAGAATCAGGTGGAGGCGGCGGCTGATGCTGGGTGTTCAATGGTGTGGACGAGTTCTTTTACAGCCTTTAGAACCTCAGTTTCCCTGAACCCTGTGCCCACGGGAAGGAGAAGAGAACGTTCACTCACTCCACAAATTTTATTTTGAGTGTGCGCTAGAGGCCAGGTGCAATTGTGGGTGCTGATATAGCCCCATGTACTTGGGATATATCAGTAAACAAATCAGATGCCTCTAGACTCCCCATTTTGAAAAGCTTATATTCTAGTCGGGGAGACTCAGGCAATGAAACAAATGTAAGTTAAACAGATGGTAGGGGAAAAGATGATAGTGGTTATGGGAGAAAACAGAACAGGGTCATAGTCCAATCTGTAGGACTCCGTTACACAGCTGGCCTCCGATTTAGCCTTTCACAATGACGTAGAGGGTTTCTGTGCCTTTGGTCCCAGCCCCATCATTCCCTGAGTGCTTCTTCACTCTTCACAATCATGAGAGCCAGGCTCATCTCCGGCCTCACCCACACCCTGGAATTAACCACTTCCCTAGCAACTCTAGTTCCTTGTGTTGAAAGAATGGTATTTAGAAACCAAGAGCTGGTCACTAGACATTAAGAGGTGCCCATTGTTCCCGGGGTGTCATTGCCTGGGGGCCTTCTGAGAGGAGAACTAGGAAACTCACACAGATAGACCAACAAGCCAGCTCATTTCTATTTTTATCCATACGCACACACAGACACACACACACACACACCACGGGTTCATTTCAATATTCTTATTCTAGTCCAACACAACACAGTGTACATTCTCGTTCTTTCCTTATTTTGAGGCGCCTCCTTTTCTTCCGACAGAAACCTGGCTTTTATTATCTACAAGATATTTTCTTAATTGTTCAATCCTTATATATACATAATACTAAACAGCATAATATTTTTGCACAATTCTTGTTGTTGGTAGCCTTACACTATCCAGTCAAAACGCTGATGCTGTTGTCCAAAGTTACTTAGATGGGTGTTTTGGATTTTTTTTTTTTAACTAGGGATTGAACCCAGGGCTGTGCAAGCACTCCACCACAGAGCTAACTCCCCAGACCTTTTTATTTTATTTCGAGACATGGTCTGCTAAGTTGCCCAGGCTGGCTTTGAATTCATGATCATCTTGCCTCAGCCTCCTGAGTAGCTGGGATGACAGACCTGGGCCACCACACCTGGCAGGTGAGTCCCTGTACCCCCACACCTTCCAGCGGGGTGAGTGTATTCACTTGTAACTCAAGTCCATTTGCTTCCCTTGCAAATGGAGCTAAGGTTTCTCCCACACATCCTGGTCGGTTTCCTTCCGGGCTTACAGTGCTGGCGGTTGAACCCGGGGCCTTGTACCTGCCAGGCAAGGGCTTGGCCACTGAGCTGCACGCCCAGCCCTCCCTTATTGCTGTGTGGTTTATGCTTGATGTGCTTTGGAATTATTTTATAGCATTAAAAGAAACAATGAAGTCCTCTTAAATAAATCCCTCACTAATTCCAACAGTTTCCAGCTAATCCAGAGAATTATTAGTCTGTTTAGCTTTGCTATTTCTTCTTGAGTTAATTTTGGTAATTTCTGGGGTTGTGTGTGTATGTGTGTGTGTGTGTGTGTGTGTGTGGTGCTGGGGATTGAACCCAGGGCCTTGGGCATACAAGGCAAACACTCGACCAACTGAGCTATATCGCCAGCCTTGGTAGTTTGTGATTTTTAAGTTTGCTTTGGTTAAATCATCCTGCTTTTCAAGGGAATGTGTACTGAATTGTGTTAAATATGCTTTATACTTCTTTTTCTTCCATTTATCTTTGTGCCCTATGATATCATGCAGCAGTTAAAAAGAACAAAGTCATGTGATTCTACAACATGTACAATCAGAAAACTGAAAAATTATACCCCATTTACATATGATATATCAAAGTGCATAAATGCATTCTACTGTCATGTATAACTAATTAAGACAAATAAAAAATTAAAATAAAAAAGAACAAAGTAGATCTGTATATGCTAAAAGTGAAAGAGCGATAAGACATAATGAAAAGAAAGCAAATTTCAGAAAAATAGAGCATCCGTTTTTAAAATAAAATTTTATAAGTTTTGGAGTTTGAATCTCATTTTTAGATAGGAAATGGATGTAAAAAGACCTGAAAAGATCCCCACTAAATCTCAGTGATAGCAGTGACATCCTTGGACTTCAGCCAGAGGATCCCTGCCTTGCCCTTGGGTGCTGGAAGGCCTACTCCAGCCGCCCTCCGGAGCCCCTCACCCCAAAAACCAAAGGGACATGCCTGACCCTCCTTGCAGACCAGGCTTCAGGTGCCCGGGACCCAGAAATTCTTTCCAGGTCCTGTGCGGACCTCACTCCAGGTGTGTCCTCTGGCAGGTGGAGTACAGCACTGTTGTGACCAGGCTCAACCAGTGAGCAACGGGCATCTGTTGGAGGAACTCGTAGGTGCAGGTTGGAGTCTCCATATACATATGCATGAGGCCCTCGCGGTGTAGACAGAGCTGGGCACCAGAAGGGTAGGCAGGCCTCGCTGCCATGTTCTGGCAAGGAACTCTACAAAGTCAAGAGCCCTGAATCCAAACCCAGTTTCCCAGGTCATTATATTTGTTCCATTGTGCACAGAAGGCCGACTTTGTTTAAAAGCAGCAGAAGAGACTACCACCCACAAGCCAAGGAAAGAGGCCTCAAAAGAAAGCCAACTTGCCAAGAACTTCATTTTGGACTTCCAATCTCCAGAACCCTGAGAAAACAAATGCCTCCTGCGCACAGCACCCTGCCTGTAATGTTTTGTTGTAGCAGCCATAGCAAACTAATACAGAGCACTTCAACTTTTTGCTCTATTTTTTCTTCTTTGACTTTTGTTTCTAATCTACATGTATCCATGCATTATTTATGTAATTAAAAAAAT